AGTTGCAGCAGAAACTGTCTGCATTTCAGCAGAGCAGCCTGTGTTTAAATCATGGCAAGACCCTGATAAATTGAAAGTTAAGGTTGGTAATCTCTGCTTTCAGGTCAGTTCCTCAATTTTCATTTACCTTGATGCTGGGCTCGCATGTGCTCAGAAATCCTGATTCCAGGTGTCTGTGGAAAATATCTGAGAAGGATGGAGTCAATTAATGGTGAGCTGCTGTTTTTCCTGTGTAACAGACCCTAGCTTCCCAGAAATCCTCATTATGCAAACTTTGGGCTGGATTTGAAAAAATTAKAATAATCCTGACCGAGAACTTTTCCCGTTGTGAACTCCAATTTGCCAAATCTTCTGCCCAAACCACCACCTTTGATTKCAAGGGATTAATTAGATCAGCCCAAAAGGGCTGCTGGGGGTTAATGAGGACTAGAGAAAGGCATGGCTGCTGGTAGGGGTGAGAGCCTCGATTACTCAGGCACAAGATAACTTTAATTTCTGTCAGCAATTTGTGAAGAACAACCTTCTTCTGCCTGCTTCTTGCACGTGCTTATCCAGACTGTGATGATTTTTTGTCACTTTAGCAGTTGTTGCTTTGCTGCTGTGTCTTTGGGAGTCTGGTGGCCAAACAGAACGGGGGAAATAGCCAAGCTGCTGAGGGAAAACATCGTAGGATGGTTATTCCTCTAGAGCATCTTTGAGCATGTATGCCACCAAACTCTGCTCAAAGAGCAGGTAATTATAGAGAGGTGGAAATGCTTTCTTCAGCAGCAAAGCTTTATTTGGAATGTTGTGCTGTGCTGTGAAGACATAAGTGCTGTTATCACAAATACCCATCAGTCAAATCCAGACTAGAYTAAGAGCAGGGAAAGTTGGGGAATATAAATCTGCTTACTGTGGATCCAGTGCTGAGTAATAAACTTGCCTTTGGCAGAATTAAAGAAAAAACTGGAGGGTGCCCGGAGGTAGCACTGAAAGGCAGTGACAGGTCTCCTTCCCTGTTTCTGTGACAGGTCTCCTTCCCTGTTTATGTTCATTACTAAGATTTAAGTTGCTCTCAGTGTGACCTATCAGCTCCTGTTCGAGAAGTAAAGCTGGTGGAAGATTTGCCTAAGGGCTTAAATCSAAAAGCCAAGTGCATTTTTTTTATTTTAAGAATTTTTTTTTTTAGCTGATCTACAACATTAATTCAGTACTGAGGTTCTTCAGGTTGCTTCAGAATGCTTTAAAGGCAGTTTTGTTTCAAAGATACTTTCAGGGAATATTCTCTTTAAGCAGGGAAGGGCACAGAGACTATTTTTTTAGCGTGTAACTTTTCTTTAGCCTGTAACAATTTCCTAACTGTTCCTCTGCTTTATATCATTGTCTGTGAAGCACCAGGAGGGTTTTAGAGACTTGGGGKCAGATTTGTAAAAACTCTGGACCATTTTACATGGGACATCATGAAGGCTCTACTAGTCTAGACAGCAGAAATTCTGATTTTCAGCATCACCTTGGGCAGGTCTCAGGTTTTATGAGTTTCAATTTCCTGCCTGGAAAGCAGAGGATTCAGTTTCTTTCCTCAGAGCAGCACGGYTTTATAAAGTACAAATATTTGTGCAGTTAAGTGCTTTGGCTGTGTGAGCCTCTGAGAGAAGGAACCATAAATATGTGTCAGGCCTATGATCTGAATTCAAACCGGTGAACTAGAAAAAGTGTTGACAGCCTGAAACCAACTGCCCTGTACACACATCTCCTTCTGTCTACCTGAAAGATTATTTGTGGAATGTGTTTCTATTTTTCTCTGACAAAAAATAGAATACCAGGCAAAGAAACATGACCCATTTCTTTGTCAGGCAAGCTCTAWACCCTGCTTACTGGGATGTGACTGAGGTATTGATAAAAGAGAAGCTCATTTCAGGCCACAATATTCACCCTGCCCTTGAAGAAGAAACAAAGCCTGCTACGTCCCGAGGAAATGGATGTGCTTTCCAAGCCAAAGTGTGTTTGTCACCTCCACAAGTTGCCTGTGATCTGTAATTATGTTTGAAGCATACAGTGAAACAGGTAAGTGGCAAATGAGGAGAGTTAGGAGTGTAACTAWTCATTTTATAATAGGAAAACACACAAGCAGTGCACCACTGGCAGTGCCTGAGCACTCTGCTAACACTCAATCAATAGGTCTGATAAGAGCATCACTCATCATAAACTGCTCCACCTTCAGCAGTTTCTCATGGTCCTTTCTCTGTGTGGTGCCAGGTCTGGGTGTACATTGTGCTGCTCGTGATGTTGGCCTTAGGGTGGACTTCCCTCAAGGCCTTTTTTTTTTTTTTATTTTTTATTTTTGGTATAGCATATTTGAAACAATATCAAGTCATACCACACTGAGCTTTTTATTAGCAGAGATTTTTTGGACAGAAGCACATAATCTAGATTTTCTGAATTGATAGGCAGATGGTAGCTACTTTTTTTTTTTCTTTTGGGTATTTTTTTTCCATCTTGTACATTTTAGATTTACATAACTTGATTTCACACATCTGAAGAACACTGACATAAATCTAAATTTATCTTCGATGCATTTACAACTATTCTTTTTTAAAAAAATAACTTCCTGACGTATCTCTGGTTAGACTTCTGCCAAAAAGCAGRAACTTTAATTTTCTCCTCTGTTGACATAAATACCTTTTAAAATTATGCAGAGAATGGCACGACTGTCACATTCCCATGAGGATTTGAGGACCATTCACTCCACCACTGAAACACATTCGCTTTCCATCAGCCAGGGTGAGTAGCTCTGACATCTTCCTGCTCCACCCTGTGCTACTGTGAATATCTCCAAAATTCAGAATCTTTGTCACTCTAGGCTGGCTGAATTTCTTTTTATTACTGTTTTCAATTTGGTTCCCAAAAACAATGAAGGTTAGTTGCATCYGACTCTTAATTGGACTTCACGTTCTATTAGTCATTATTTTCGCAAAGGCCTTAATTCCCCTCTAAAACATTTTAATTAAAACAGCAATTTCTCAGAGCCCGCACTTCACGAGCAGATTTTTCGCAGCAACTTCAAAGGGACGCAGATGTTTACTGAATTTGGTGGGGTGGTGTTTGAGGCTGCCTACTGGCAAAGAAAAACTCATAAACATCTCTAAGAAACTTTCCTGTGGTAATGACAACATTTCCTCCTGATATTTTAGCAAGTCTAATAAATCCCAATCTCGACAGGCAGATTTCATGGGCACGGCACAAGTTCTGTTATCTGTTCACAGAATGAGCCCTGTCAGATGCTGTGGGGTAAAAACCTCCCAGTGGGGACACCCTGGGCTGTGGCAAAATGTACAAGAAGCCATATATTTGTTTGTTTGTGGGGCTTTTCTTACAGAGAATCAGTAAATTGGAAATAAGGAAACCAAAGTTCAATTTCTGCTCAGTTTTCCACAAATCTCCCATGTGATTATGGGCAGCCATTTAGCTTTGTGTGTCTCAGTTTCACCTGGTAAAGGGCTGATAACATATCCTGGTTTTGAATGGATTTACCCGCTGTTCCATCTCCCAGTGCAGCAGGGGGTATTTGAGGGGGTCTYGTTTAGGTAAAATTCAGAAATGTTAAATGTTTATTTTGGAGGAGTTCCTCTTTACTTGTGGCAGGCGAGCCTGGAGCTGCTCTGATGATCCCATTTGGGGTAACCAGGGCAGGTAGGGCTCCTCTCTGCACTGAGGTGATGGAACTGGGGACACATGGCCATTGCAAACCACCTCAAAAATAGAGCAGGGCCCAAAAAACACCTGGCCTGTCCAGCTGGGCCAGCAGGAGGAGGGTGCTCTCCAGGTGCCAGGACCTGCACTGGGTGGTGAGGCTCCTGCTCCTTTCTGTGCACAGAAACATCACAATCTTAAGGCTGAAAATGACCTCTAAAATCATGAGATCCAGCTGTTAACCTCACACTGCCATCTTCACCACTAAACCATGTCYCCAAGTGCCACATTGAGTCCCTTTTTTCCAGGGATGGTGATTCTAACACTTTCTGGGTAGCCTGTTTCTTCTCTGAACTCTCTCCATTCACATTTTTGAAGGGGAGATAATAGAAGAATTTGGAAACAGCCACTGTGAGCATCAGGCAAAGACCTTGGAGAGCCAGCACGGAATATGGCGTGACACGTCSTGTAGCTGCTTTAATCTACAGCATAATTACAGTGACAATTTCTGCCTCTTGAAGCATTGGGATTGAAGTGGTTACCCTGAAGGWGAAAGAAAGTTAGTGGGAGAGAATTTCAACCAAATCTAGGCTGGGAAGTGCAGCACTTGCTCTGCATTGGATTAAAAGTGATCAGCATGGCCAAAGGCATCCCGTGAGAGACAGGTGAGCAGACTGAAAGGAAATTGGAAATATTAAAGGAATGGAGSCTGACTGGACAGAACTAGTTTCACAATTCCCTGTTCCTCTTTGATTTGGTAGCATTAGGCAGGCTGAAGGGTAGATTCTGCAGACTTATGCGTGACAGCAAGACATTTTTCCACACCGATAAATCCCCTGAAATTAATTGGACCACTCACAAAAGTGCCTGGGAATGTGAGCTAGGCTGGCACGTTTCAACCCTCAGATCTGATCTTCCTTCAGCAGTGCCAGGGCCGGGCTGCCCCATGAGCAGCCACAGCTCAGCCAAAAACGAGAGTTCAGATGGCTCTCAGTGACCTGGTCAAGCTCTCTGTGGACACATTCTGGCTGAGGAGCAGCTCAGCTCAGCTGRATTCACCAGAGCAAGGAACAGATCGAAAATAAACTGAAGGAAACTGCTCTGAAATGAAAGGAGGGCTCAGACACAGGTTTGTGCTCGCCACAAATTGTTGAGCGTTTGCTGCGCTGTGGAATTGCCTACGTGTGTGCTTTGAGCTGGTGGCAAATGCTCTCAGGGAGAATTAGCCTGGCCTGCAAGGAGGGAAATTTAAATTTAAACTTAAATTTAGGTAGCTCTTGCAAGTGTGCTGTGAGATGAGAGCACAAAACCAGGTGTCCACAGAGGCATTTGCTGGAGCTGAGGTGCCCGTTCTCCGATTGCAAATGTGCTCCTGGAAAACCAAACCAAACATGAAAAACTCCCCTCACGTGTTGGTCTGGAAAGAAATAGCTTTGTTGTTGTTGCAAGGARTTAGTAAGCCAACAATGCAAAGCTTTGGAGGTGGTTACTGGGTTTTTACTGGAGTCTCTACGAGCTATACAAAGTCTGACGACATTGTACGTACAGTACATCTTTAATAAGAAGGGAGCTCACAGTCTACCAAACTCTGCCAAATAAACTTTTAATACATACTGTACTTCACTCAGTAGTTGTCCATCTCTTCTTCATGGAATATCTAACAGCTCTAAAAATATTTTCTTGGAGGAGGATAGAATTATCATYGTTATATATCAATCAAGTATGGTTAATGAAGCAAAGCCAGCATGCTAGTATTGCACAAGGGGAAAAGCCTCCAGAACACAAAGTGGAACAACAAATGCCCTCAAAATTCTGCYGAAGGGAGCAGGAAGCTCTGGATGCTGCATCGGTAGGATTCGTGTAGCTCTTAGGCGTCCTTGTACCACAGCAGGTTTGCTTTGCCTCTTCACTGCCACATTTCTCTCTCAAACAAGTAGGGAACTTCCAGACCATTGCAAAAAAAGGAAAAAAAAAAATTACAGCAGCTGCAGCAAAGTGTGGTACTATTCAATTTCTTGAAGAGTGAGGCTTTTATTTCAAAATATCATATATTAATATATATATATTTCTATATATATATATACTTTAACTGGTATAAAGTAAATTGTAGATCCAAACTTATAGTGTTGTTTGTACTTCGCAATCTTGGAAACTTTACCAAAGGAACCGCTTCCTTCGTATTTTATTTTCAGCTGTCAAAAATCAGGGGCGTTATTTCCACCGAATCCTTTCTTTCGCACAGTAAAGCCACTGTTGTTTTCTGGTAAACAATCAAAGTGCAAATAAGAAATCCATTTGGCTTGTAARTGCTGAGATGGTTTTAAACTTTCAATACTTTGTCCTCATAAATCAGCAGGGCTTTCACTGTCTCCGTGCAGATGCGGGCGCTCTGTTAAGTCCTTGGGTGGATCTGCAGCGAGAAAATTGAAAAGAGTCAGTTATGCATAATATGTTTGGTTTTTTAATACATTATTTTGGGAAAGAAAGAGCCGGGCTCTGTGGCACAAAGCTGATAGATGGAGCTGAGTTTGAATGAAGTATGGGAGGGRTGAGTGTGTCTTTTAGTGCTGCAAGGGTGTAAAAATAAACAAAAGGCAGAACTTGAGCCAGCTCCTGCCTCTGGGAGAGGAGCTGGTGTTGTTGGAGAGCCCAGAATCACAGAATGCCYTGGTTTGKCAGGGACACCTTCCACCACCCCAGGGTGCTCAGAGCCCTGTCCAKCCTGRCCTTGGACACTTCCAGGGATCCATCCAGCCCTTTGCCAGGCCCCTGGGTCAGCAAGGAAACTCACATTGGCTTGAAAACCATCGGGGTCAGCCTTTAAATCAGATTATTATCTAAACTCAGGGTGATCTGATTCAATGCAGCAGTACTGGAGCAAGAGAGATTGAGATCCAGCCAGTTCAAACTGAACGAAATCGAATCCCACTGGTTAAAACTGAAACAAGTGGTTTGAACTGGATTCAACCCCTCAAAACCAGTTTGGGCCAGATTAAACTGGTCAAAAAAGGTTAAAAATAGTAAAAACCAGTTTAAAGCAGTTCAAACCAAATCAGACCTATCAAAACCAGTTCAAACTGGCTCAAGCTGGTCACAATGAGTTCAGAAGGGTCAAAACTGGTTGAAACTGGTTGAAACTGGTTGAAACTGGTTAAGCTGGATCAAACCACACTGTGACAGAAGGCACAGGCTGTGAGGCTGGAGAGAGGCTTTGAGCTGAGCTGCTCTGTTTGTCCCCAGCTGCTCAAAACTTTAATTTCCATCTTGTGGAATAYCAGCAGCATCCAGCCCAAGATGCTGCTCTTCTATTTCCCCTGGTTCCAGTTGCTGTGCTGAAATGTGAGGATGTGACCTCCAGCTGGTTCTAGTACAGCTCCAACGGGCCCACTTTTTGAGGAAAGCATTAAAAGTTATGTTCTTAAATTAAAACAAACAAAAAAAAAGGAGTGACTAGGGATTAAAAAACCATTGAAACTACTCCAAAAATTGAATGACAAAATTATTTCTTTCCAGTGTTTGTCACCTGCCTGACCATCAAGAGAAAACAAATCAATTTAAGAAAGCTGTGAGTTTTATAACTTTGGCTTAAAAAACTTTATTAGTGAGCTATGCTAAAGGGCTAAAAGCAGAAATAAATGCATGAAAAGGAAAGAATAGAGGATGTGCTGGCAAAGACTCCACTGAGTCTGTTGTCCACCTCTTTCTGACATTAATCAGTATTAATTACGTCTGAAAACCAACCACGAAGTTATGCACTACCCTAGAAAGTTATATATAGTGTATATATATGTATTCATAAATATAAATGTATACATGCACACATGCTTAAATGTGATTTACTGTGGGCCTGGAAGAATGTCCTAATGGGCATCCTAATCCCAAGAATCACAAATGTGAATGTTTTCCTTGTCAGGACAGCAGCTGCCTAAYGTAAATGTATTTAGTGTAAGGAAAAGCCTTCATTAAAACAGTTTACAGTTTACAGCCTGTGGAGACTTCTGTAGTTTCTGCCTAATCACCACATAGAGAACTGGGATCCTGACTGATTTGTCTCRTTTCTTCTGCTTTCTTAACTTCCTTAACTACATAAATTACACATACATGGCCCAGTCTTGGAACCTGGACTGTGGTCAGGGCACATTATGTCATAATATCATTCTCTGCTGCCATCTGAAATGGCAAAACAAAACAAAAAACAAAGCCTGTTTCAGGATCTGATTGCTTCCATTATTTTATATTTATGTTGCTAGACTTGACGCAGTGGTAGGGATTCGAGCAAAGTTTCAGGGACTAAGAAGCAGAATTTTTCCTTGGAAAATGCAAGAGACAGTTGCTGAGCGCATCATGTCATGTTGCCTTTGTCAATTGGGTTCTGTAATGATATTTTAAAGCAACAAAGCAAAATTCTACTGGAAGCAGCACCATAAGGTAGTCCCCTCACAAGCTAATTAAAATAACTCCTGTGGGTAAATGAAGAAATATTTTTTCCGTTATGAGGACTCACTCTGCAAGTATTTAATTTAAATGAAATACAATAATGCATACTGAATAGATTGGACCATACATCTGCATATTAATGAAGCTGCTAAATTTCTAGCAATCACTTCTATCGCCTAAAACCAGTTTATWTGATGAGGACTGGGGGAGTTAAGAGCAGGACAGCTTCGCTGAGGAAAGAAAATGCAATTCCTCAATTATATAACTTGTAGACAGGCTGCAGAAGGACTGAATGATTGTATAAGATGCTTCATGTTGCTTCWTAGTTCTTCCACATAATTTTCCTCCATTTTAACTCCCCAGCTGCCTCACTGGAAAGGACATGTAGTGAGTTTTTGTGGTTTGGGATTTTTTAATTGCTCTTCAAGGCACAGACATTAGGAAACAACCTTCCAGTGTTGGTGCAGTGTGAAGAGATTGACTGTGGGCACAGAAATTTGCAGGAACAACACTGAAGGAGAAACTGAATCAGGGAATCCCAGTTCCCTCCATCCTTCCTCCTTTGCTTCAGGAGGTGATAAAGACATCATATGGATCCTGATTTTGGGGGCCACTTACTGCTYCCTGCAAAGAAAACCTCTTAAGTCAGTAGATCTGATAATTTAATGTGTTGGTGTGGCAGAAGGGACTGCTCCAGAAATGAGGATTGGAATAGGAATCATTCATCTGGGGTAGATCCTATGGAGGGAAAGAATTCAGATGGCAAGGGGATCAATTAGGGTAAAACCTCCTTCTTCAACAGAAGGCCTAGCAGGCATAAAAAATGACTGGAGTTAGGATTGGAGAGAAAGGAAGAAGTCAGGAAATCACAAGACTAAGCTGCATGTTCCTGTGAATCAGAAACTCGGCATGAGCATGTAGAATTTCTCATCAAACAGGGAAAAAGTTCTTGAAAATTCGCTCTTTTTCGTTTACCAGGTTTCAAAAGCTATTTTTCAATCCACAGGAAATTAACATTTATATACTTATAAAAAAATTTTGAGTTGACAACCGTGCAATTTTCTTGGAAAAAAAATTCAATCATGGTATGAAAATAAGTTAATTAAACAATTAAAATTGTTGAATACAGGCATAGGTGGCAGCTTTAAGACAATGGCTGTGAAACAGTTGCACATACAAAAGAAAAGCTAGAGTCTATTCCTGAAAAACACTTTTGTTCTCTAAGTAATCTCCTCGTGGGAGTTTAGGCAGCTCATTCACACTCTCTGCATTCCTGTCTCTGCCTTTTCCTGGCACACTGTGCTGAAAGCTGTCCTCACCTGTTGGCCTGGGTTACCTGAGGCTGCAGCATCTCAAGGGCTTGTCACTGATGGGTTTGTGGGGTTAGAGCTGCTCTGAAGTGAGACCTGAAGTGCAAACAGGGAGTTGAGTCCTCTGCTACAAACCCTTGTACAGCTGCTGATCCAGATGTGGCCTGGAACGGCCATGAATGGGTGTAGGATCCAGCAGATCCCTTTGAGATAAAATTCCTCTCTTTAGCCACCACTAAGGGACTCGGTGATGTGCATTAGGGTTTTTTTTTTGAGGTGACAATGTCTATAAGAAATGTCTTTAAAGTCATTGAAAACAAAAAAGAACTTTACTTTCAGCTGACCAGCCTGATCCATATGAATTTTCACTAAGTAATGGCCAGAAATACTGGGTGAGAATGACAGAACTTTAAGACTTTTACAGCAGACATGACAATGCAAAACACATGGGTGAGCAATCATGAGTGATTCTCTTTCCTGTCAGCACCTCCTGGGTGYAGACAGAAAGGACACTCACTCTGGTGGTCTTGATTTTATTGCCGGTCGCGCACATCCATCCGGAATTGTCGGGCAATGTCTTGCATTCCTCTCCTTCTAGGCAGGGCTCCATCTCACACCACCACTTCCCAATCACTATAGAAGCTGAAAGAGAAAAGACAGTGCTCACAGCTATGTTATAACCAATAAATCTAATTAAATAAGGGGTCATTTGAGGTCTCAAGGGTCTAATGCTGCAGTTAAAAGGCAGAGTGTCCCATCAGATGGAGTTTGGTTGTAAGGATTTCATCTTTARTTCTTGTTTGRSRTTCTGTGCTGCCTGAGACAAGGCARGTCTAAAGRGATTTCCCTCAGAATATTCTCTASGTCTTCAGGACTCCTAGCTCCAYGTACTCCARGTAAACTGGAACTGGCTTGACTTCCAGTACCTGCAGCTGGCTTTTTGGGATTTTAACCACAAATCTCTCCAGAATTATTTGAACCCATGGAGACTTTTAGCTTTCCCAGTATCCCATCACAGAAGTATCACAACTARGAATAGAGGGTAAGGAAACACTGAACAGCACCAGAAATTCTTGTTGAAACACAATTATGAATTTTATAGAAACCATATTCTCTCTAGCAGTAACTTTTAATTTCCCAGTATTTAACACTGTAAATAACGGCAGTGTTTGGACCCTGTTGYTTGAATTTAATTGGCACATATGTTTACAACCTTGAATGTACCTTAATGAAGTTTCTTGCCTGGGAATTGCTATCTGACCGTATCCTTAACTGTATCTTAATGACATTTTTTGTCTGGGGATTTTGATAAACTTTAGCTAACCTTGCAACTGTGACGAGTTGGCTCATGAGTGGCTCTTTCTGTGGCAAGAATTAATTTCATGGTTGCACTCAGGGAGCCTGTCAAAGCTTTCTGCACAGTCACTCAGAGAGAGATGCTTAACCCATTCTTCTCATCACTCAAGGCTGCTTCAAGCCCACAAAATAACTTTGAAGCAGCTGCCTACCCTATATATACATWTATTAATATATGTAYACACCAGCTGACTGCCATTCAGCTCTGCAAAATGCCCTGTTGGGCACGCATTGATTTAAGGATATTACAGAGATTATAATTAAATTTTTGAATACAGAATTGAATAGAACAGTTCAGTTTTTCAGTTTGAGGGGCCCTGCAATGATCAGATAGCTCTCAGTGTTGTCTTTCCTGGTGCTTYACACAGCTTATATCTGATTTTTATCATGTAATGTATAATTTCTCCATATAGACAAGACACAAAAAAAACCCACTTTACACCTGTGCTGGCAAAGCAGTTTGATGATGCTGTTCACACACCTTTTTCAGAAGGATATCATTAATGCTGCTAACAGCAGAGAAAAGAGATCTCTCTCTTTGCTATGCATGAAAAGGCAYGAGGGCTGAAGCTGTGCTCTAATAATAGACTGTGCACTGGGCAAACTGAAAAACCATATCCTGTTAAACACYGGCCTTCAGAGCCACCACCAGAGCAGAGCATCCTCAGGATGGGTGAGAAGAATCCTGTGACATGGAACTGAAAGTGATAATCATAATTATTTACTGGGAGCTGTGCATTAAACCACCATGGAGAAGGATCCTATGGTGCAAGGCACTAAAACCCACAAAAAAACCCCCACAAACCTGAAAACCCCACAAACCTGAACGCCCTGACCTGGGGAGTTCACAGTGTAAAACAGACATATGGGGTGAATGCAGACTGAGGGGCAGCAATGCTGCTCATAGCAATTGAAATGMTCTCACTGCTTACTGATGATGTTAAATGCAGCCCAGGCATTCAGATCTTGACCTTGAAAAATARTCAGATGCAAAGTTAGTGCTGAACCTTAATGGTAACTGATTCATGTAGTGGTGTGCAGGTTTTAGTATATACAAATATATATAAAAATCTGTAGTGATATATGTTTTAGTATATATGTATATATATATATATATATGAATAATATATATATAAAAATATATAAATTATAGATAAATATAAATATAGATAGATAAATAAATAAATGAATCTGTGCAGTTACACCCAAGTGTCCATCAGGTGAATACCCTACACCACTGAAGACCAGGCTCCTTTTATAATGGGGGAAATTAAGGCCATTTGCAGATGAAAAGCTCCTCTTTGTCTCTAATATGCTAGAAGGTAAAATTCTTTGTAAGTCTGAGGCACTACAAACACTGTGGTCTAGTCCTCAGCCCCACACCATGSCAGGGGCATCCAAAATCCAAAGAAAATTGCTTTCTTTGAGTCTTGTGTTTATAGGTTTTCTCTTCTATTAAGAGCCTTTTAATCTTTAGGAGCAGTTATCTTTCTTGGGCACTGCTGATCCTTTGAGTTCTCCCTGATTTCAAAGTTTTACACCTCCAGCTCTGTTCAAAGAGGGAGGGAAAAGCTTTAAAATGAATCACAGTTTGCAGCATTTGAGAGTGGGCCACCTGCACAGGGAGTGGGGAATCTTCCCCAGGGAAAGGATGCAGCTTCTCCCTGTTTGGGGTCTGTCACTCTGAGCTGAGCCTCTTTTATAAACTCTAGTAATAAAAAACTCTAAACATATCACCAATGGAGCTGGGAAGAAAAGTGACTTTCTTCAGGAAATTCTCGAGATTTTTTTTCTGGCTCGATTCACATGGTTTTAAAAATAAAAAAAATCATTGTTTGCAAAACCTTAAAATAATTTTGATCAAAATATTTAACTTTTGATGTATTTAGTCTGCATGGATTARCAAACACAAAAAAGCATTTGGTTGAAATGGCATTTGCAAATCGTGTGCTCCAGAAAAATAAAGTACAGATAAGAAATCTGGAGATTAGATAAAATATAGGGRAAAAGCAATAAAATAGCTTATATTTTCTCATGTTTACACAATTCTATTGCATTTTAAAACACATTTGTTCCCAAACATAGTGCCCAAAGCCTTAGGTGGCTGCAGGGAATTGCCAGTTTAGTTCAGATTCAGTGGGATTCAGCCTCCAAAGTTCAGGAGAACCTTTGGAGGTTGCTCAAGGGCAGTGACCGTGCTCTGATTTGCTCCTGTGCATCGTCTGGAGCACAAAGTTTTGATGCATGAAGGCAGCTGGATGAGAAAGTTTTCCTCTTGAATTTCAGTATCAAAATATTGTATTAAGGGACAGCAGAAATGAACTGAACACCTTCATATATCTGCACCTAAAAGATCAAATCAACATSGAGACATTAATTGTTAAATCATTGTCCTCTTGGATCAAACAAAATTTGGAAAAAATACATGATCTATTTGATTAAAGCTGCGTGTTGAAACTCCTGAATTTATTATGTTTCACATTTCTCAGTCTTTATGTTCTTGCATTAAACYAAAGCTACTCAGTTGTTCAAAGCCCTCTTACAGGTGATTAACAGACATGGACAGATAAAWTATTCACACACAGCCCAAATATTTACAGGCACTTGCTTCTGTCATGTTTGCTACTCTTGTGTGTAGAAAAAAATGCAAAGTTTGTTTTTGCAGCTAAAATTCTCCTTTAACTTTTCTGCATTTGAGTTTAGGAAATTGCTTTAAAAATATGACAGACCCTCCATGGYAATAAGAATAAAGACATTATAGTTAACAATGTAACAATAAGGCCATCCTCACAGAGTAATAGATAGCTTTAATTCATGTTTATGGAATACCCTGAAATATGAAAACAGAGCAAAGTACCATCATGCATTTTTCAACAGTTTAGAGGGAACATGCCATGTATTAAAATGTTCCAAGATTGCTTCTGCAGTTGCCATTATAAAGCCACAGCCGCTCTCTTTTTGCCTGTGATAAAGTGCACGCATTTTGTTTATATAAGAATTGAATACAAAGGAATGGAGATATTAGATTGTGGTTCYTCCTGATCATAGGTATCATGTAACWGCAAGGRATAAGAAGCAGAGCTCATTTTCAAAACCAGTGCCACGCTCATTGTAGGATGGGGAAGTTTTCCCTGTAAGTATTGAGCATTCTGCTTTAATCTCGTTTCCACCAGCGAAGATTGATATAAATAAAATTTAAATAGAGAACACATTTCACAGATGTCAGAAGTGAAAAAGACTTTGTCAGCTTAATGAAAAGATATCAATTTTCCCCACTTTATTCAATGTATTGTGAGTCATTTTCTAAATGGATTAGATTAAAGGAAAGTTCAAACTCCCCGTGAGAGATTCTTGTGCTGATGGAGATTTTGGCAATAGCAACWGCACAGAGGTGGGTAAAATCCTTCAAGTAGTTTGGTTTATTTTTTTTTAAAGGATATAAACTAGAATGGGAGAAACTGTAACCCTGTGCTCACCTATCCCTTATAAAACAAAATCTCAGAGAATTGAATGAGACATGCAGTTTCTCTTAGTTTATTGGGATGTCACGGGGAGCAGAATGAATTACAGGGGTGGGAAACACACTTTCTGAGAAAACTGGACTGAAAGACAGTGTCATATGAAGGGTTATGGATTTCATAAACAGACTGAGATAGCCGCCACTCTGGGAGCTGCAGAGCAGTAATCTGATAAATTAAAGAATACAAATCCGAAACAAAAGATTTCAGGTGGAATATTGCTATCTAGGAGAAGTACAGGATGTTTCCTACAGGGAGTTCCAAACTATCAAACTCTCTGCCTTAATTCAATCTTAATTTTAGRAGTATCAATCTAATGCTCCTGCAGTGCAATGCTTCACAGACTTTGATAACAAACCTCTCACCACTCTGGGAAAATGGACATTGCTCCTGTTCAAAATACAAGCACAGTGCAATCAGTCTGGCAAGTGGTGTCTCATATCYCTAATTGCCTCAAATTCAGTCTTGCTGAGTTAATTTAATATTTTTTAATTGTAGTAAACATTAAAAAGACATCAGCATGCTAAACAACTTTTTTTTTTTTGAACACTCCGATCTTTGCAACATTCTCCAGGTTATTTTTTTACAGTGTTTTATTAATTCACTGGCAGAATCTTGAAAGAATTGAAGATTAATTTTTTTTTCCATTCAGAATTCTTGACTCTCTATATTCAGTAGCCAGAGTAAGGTATTTTTAAGAGTGAATTACCTGTCTGAACAACGCTGTGGRCTGCACCATTAAATACGAAAGGACAGATTAGATGCAAA